TACGTGGCCGGATGTTCAGTCAGCGGAAGCTTTCCCCGTGCGAAACGGATTCGCGAAATTTTGAAAGTATCTTCTCTCAATCTCAGGGAAAGGTTCTCCTGTCGTTGAACGAATCCGACTAGTTTAATGCAATTTTGCTAAAAGGACAGAAGCAGAAAGAAGAAGTAGATGATTGATGATTGATGATGATGATGATGATGACGATGAACAAGAAAAAGAAGAAAAATGTGAATCTGATCTCGTTCTTCGTGATATTTGACACGATCGTGACGGGTTTTGAAAGGAGAGTTTTCGGAAACAAAATTTTCTACGTGGCACCGGATATCGTTCGTTGCTTTACCGTGGCGTTCGTCGCGATTCAATTCGACAAATTCGATCGATCGCGAGTGAAATCGGTCTTTCCTCCCACGTGCACAGAGATTAGTCGCTCCCGACGATATCGAACAACGAGATCATCTTCGTTCCCTTATTTTCCAACTTGCTTTCACACGAGACAAATTCACGTATGTACGTATGTTACGTTACAAATCGAGGAGAAGCTTCCATACGAAGCTTTGAACGAGCTGTCGTACAATCGTGCGCGATCGTTTGTCGCGAACGCGACAACACAATCGATCGAATTCGCCGACAAATCACTTTTATGTACCTGTTACGACTGATCATTGTGTATTATCACCGCGAACAGTAAATAAATATACTTATATACTTATGTAGAAATTTCGTGCGCGCGCGCGCGCCTGTGTGTGTGTATATATATCTATATACCATATGGTTCACCATTATTTTGTAATTATCGTTAAATGTCATTGACTGCTTGCTAAAACGCGATTTGTGATCCATCATTAATCTTATATCGGTAATCGTATGTACATATCGAGTTAACAAAGAAACCAAAAAAATGAAAAAAGTAAAATATGAAAAATACGAAAAAATATAGGCGAAATATATGGAGGGTTGTAACGTGGTGGTGTTAGACTCGGGTATACAGATCTAGGAATACAAGGCTGGAACATAAGTTTAGTTGAAGATGACACTTGATCGTACTTTTTGACTGTTTGCTTCGTGCTGTTAATTATGAACGTTGTTAGTCACTTAATTACTCGTGACTAATTACTCACGAATTCGTTGGAGTCTATAAATCAATTTAAAAAAAAAAAAAAAA